TCAAAAGTCGACAGCGCTGCGAGGGGTGCCGAGGTACAATCATGCAAGAGCATGTCCGAAGCAGTAGCACCACTTTCGGGGGGGATCCGCAAAAAAGCCTTGAGAAAGCGAGCCACCGAGTTCCTGGCTTTGCTTTCAGTGCTTCTTGAAAGTCTCGTTAACGTGAAGTATCTCGGCTGGCCTCTTGCGTTGTTTTTCCTCTTTCCAGAGGTAGCTTGGGCAGTCCGGAGAAATACTGGGCTCTGCATCTTCGGAGAGGGACGCTTTCCGGGGTGCTCGACACAAAACATTGCTGTTGTAGACCGCTTCCCAGGTTTCACTCACCAAATGAGACTTGAAGTGCCGTTCGCAGAGGTGGTCTGTTGACTGTAGGATTCAATCCTTGCACTGAATGGCATTCCTCCACACCCGAAGACGTTCTTCATCTCTCGCCGCAGAAAACAGCGAAGGTTTCTCGGTACAGGACTTGTACCCTGTGTTGCAGCCCTGGGGCGAAACACGTCTTCCCCATCGCTTTTACATGGCCACACGCACGTCGTATAAGCTCACAGGGTTAACCAAAACTTTCAAAGATTGAGGATAGTTCACAAAAAAGAGAGACGTTCGATATGAAAGACGGCCTTGTGCCGGAGCGAACTGAAGTGGCCGCTATCAGTTCGCGACTCGCATGGTTCCGGTACTCCTAGCGCCATCTGGTAGGGAAAAGGCAAACCCGAACAAGTTCTTCATGGAGCTGCTCTGCTGCACCTCCGAGGCAATCAGTCACCTCCTCTTTCTACACCAAGGTGTATTTGCTACAAGTTTTCCTAGAATGCTCAACAGCATGAGCCCATTATTTTTTGCATCATCAACTGAAATACGGAGTGCTTATAAGATGATTGGCTCCATGAAATTTGCAATACATCTGAATATTGCGACATAGTCTTTTACACGCCTTTATTAGACCTGGAAGGCGTGGCCAAAACCGTTACCTCTGAGGCACATAACCGACTCAAGGGTCACCCCACTAACGATGATGATGAAGAGCACTAGGTGATGATGGTTTATACAGGTGATGAAGAAGCGTGCCTTAAATGCCCACACTAATTCCCCGTGCACGAGAGCGGCCATCCTGGCCACAGCTTATAGATGCGGAGAACACCTTGCGAAAGGCTTCATACGCGAGACATGCACTATCTCGCTACCGCGACAGCGCTGGTCACATGGAGCAGTCACAGGTTCAACGCGATAATTGACGGGCGAGGTCTGCTCTAAGACGGTGTATGGGCCGAGGAACCGACACTGAAATTTGTCGCACAAGCCAGGAGTGCGAACTGGTGTCCGGAGTAGCACCTCGTTGCCGGAGGGGAAGGTCACAGTGGTGTGGGACGTGTCATGCAGATTTTTACGGGCTTGTTGTCTCTCCTCAGTGTTGAGTCTGGCGAGCTGGCGACAGTGATGGAGGCGGGACACATATTGTTCACAGGAGGATGCAGCCCCGCCGCGGTGGTCTAGTGGCTAAGGTACTCGGCTACTGACTTGCAGGTCGCAGGATCAAATCCCGGCTGAGGCGGCTGCATTTCCGATGGAGGCGGAAATGTTGTAGGCCCGTGTGCTCAGATTTGGGTGCACGTTAAAGAACCCCAGGTAGTCAAAATTTCCGGAGCCCTCCACTACGGCGTCTCTCATAATCATATGGTGGTTTTGGGACGTTAAACCCCACAAATCAATCAATCACAGGATGATGCAGATTGTGTAACCGGGGCTGTCAAGAACAAGATGTCCAGAAAGGAAGATGGCGATCGGCTGTAGACAAGGTAGAACGGCGAGTAGCCAGCTGTGCGTTGTAGGACGGTATTATAAGCGAATGTTACAAACGGCAAAATCGCATCCCAGTCGGTGTGGTATGGCTCAATGTACATGGCTATCATGTCGGACAGAGTGCGATGAAAGCGCTCAGTGAGCCCGTTCGTTTGGGGATGATATCTGGAGGTTGTCTTGTGGCTGGTGCCGGAGGCTTTAGCAATTCCTTCACAATTTGTGAAAGGAAAGCTTATCCACGGTCACTAAGTATGACATGAGCACCGTGACGCAAGATCAAGGCTTCAAGCATAAATGTAGCCACGTCAGAAGCGGAAGCATAGCGTAAGGACGGGGCTGGAAAGTGCTTGCTGTGGCATAGTTATCCCGTTCGTGTCAAACCCAGCACGCTCGTCTCGCTTACGCTTGCGACAGACACGTGCGATGTGTCCGCGATATCCGCAGTAGTAGCACGTAGGTCTCGTCGGGCGCCATGATTGATAGTAGGATTGGATTGCGTGCTTGGGACTATGGCATCCAGGTGTGCTAGCGCCGGTGGAGCACAGTAAGGCAGATTTTGCGTGCTTGGCACCAGGGACGCCAGATGGGCTGACATCGTCGTTGTCGGTATCGGTGGAACGAAGGCTGGAGTAACTGCGGCGACTTGCACGTAAGTCAGTGGGGCTTTAGAGACGTGACGGTCTGTGTATGCATTACCAGTCATAGCCGCCAACTCCTCTTTGACGACGTCCCGTGAATTTCTACTGGGGGTGTCAGAAGGGAAACTGACGTGCTGTAAAACCAAGCGACTGCAGTTCCTCTCGTATCATGCTGCGGATCACGGCTCATAACGAGGGGTCGGCAGTAGGATTGTCAGGGATGTCTGCAGGAGAGTTGTCCAGCTGCAGCCGTGCGGATTCGAGTTCGTCCAGGCACTGGCACATAGCTACAATGTCAGCAACGGTACTTGGGTCCTTTACGACCAAAGCGTTGAAGGCGACAGCGTCTCGGACACGGAGGAACGTCTCGGACATGGAGTTGTTGACGCGTCGACAGAGAGAAAGAACATTTTCTATATATGAGGTATAAGACTCGCCTACTTGTTGTTTGCGACCATCAAGTGTTCTCTTCACCAGACTGGCTCGAAGTGCCGGAGTAGCGAAGACTTGTCGCAGATGTTCTTTGAAGACGTTCCAGTTGGGGAAGTCAATCTGGTGGTTAAATTACCAAGTCTTCGCCATGCCAGTAAGATAGAAGCAGACGTGGCAGAGCTTGTGCAGATCGTCCCAACGGTTCGCTACGCTCACTATATCATATTGGTGTAGCCAGTTGTTCACGTCATCATTTTGGAGTCCAGCAAATAGCCGAGGCTTGCGAGGGGGTTCACTGACGATCCAAGAGTGAGTAGCTGCGGCCGTCGTAGCCGGAGGGGTAAAGGGAGAAGTGCTTGAGGGTTCGTCGTGCGCCATGCTGGTGGACACGTAGCCCAAACTGCGACCTGAGCGAAGCTCCAGGAGGTAAAGCGGGCGAGCAGGCACGGGGGAATCGAGGAGCAACCTCCACCACTTGCGACGTAGTCCTTTACACGCCTTTATTAGGCCTATAAGACGTGGCCAAAACCGTTACCTCTGAGGCACAGAACCAACTCAAGGGTCATTCCCACTAACGATGATGATGAAGAGCACTAGGTGATAATGGTTTGTACAGATGATGAAGAAGCGTGCTTTAAATGCTCTTAATATTTCTAGCTATTCACAAGAGCCCCTGAATAATTTTTCATGTCCTTGAATGTAAATGCAACTTGCTTCTCCTCAAGGATTTGAAGCTAGCTGCTTCAGATTGCTCCAAAGTGGAAATCTTTGCTGCTCCAAAGTGCTCCAAAATCGAAAATCTTGCTCCTCCAAAGTGCTCCAAATGAAAAATTTTGCTGCTCCAAAAATTGTTCCAAATCGGAAGACCTAGGTGGCATCATTGCAAAGTGAAACCTTAAGCCTTTTGCTGCCCCTCTTATCATCACCGAACCTTCATAATTTTTTACCATAGATAGTTTATGATGTTTCAAATAAAGTGTAGAATGCAGAAAGCTAATTAGAAAGTGCACACGGAATATGTAACAGACATGAAAAATAAAAGACAGGAGAAAGTCCATATTTATTCTACCCTAGCAAAGGTTTACGAATTTTTAATTATATAGTAAGAATTTTGAAATTTAAACAGCTGCATTTCTCGTACTTTGGAAAAAATTTGGGCAACATTTTATGCAGATCTAAGCACCAGAACCCGAAAAATGATGGGCACATTTAAAAAATGGCAAAATTTCTCTATGGAGAAAAACGAGTTTTAAAGTTAGAACTGAATGTTTATTCATGAAAGATGTCATTAAATGCAACAAAATTAGCGCACAAAAAAGAACAATCCTTCTTGTAGTGGCCATTGGCACTAACATACACCAACCATATGTTTGTCCTTCCTCCTTCAAATTTGCTCCAAAGCAGACTTTTTTTTCTATTCCAGGAATTGCTGTCAGTCATAAAATAGCTGGAGCACCATGGAGCATAGTGCTTTGTCTTACATCATAATTTTTAAATGCTCCCTTTGAGGGATCCATAATTTTTTTCTACATTTTGATAGTATCAGCAGCACTCATCACAAGAGACAAGTTTACAATTGGTCATTGGCACGCTGTTAAGCGGGATTCGAGGCAGGTACTTAACATATAAGGCCATCTGTGTGGATGCAGAGCACACGTTGATCAAGTGGCTGCAATAATCTGATGGCCAGCAATGGCCTCAAACATCAATTCAAACCATGGAGTGTGATTGTTTTCCAATTAGTAGAAGGGGGCTTTGGCAAGTGTGTGACACATCCCCAGTTGTCTTATACGAAATCGAGCAGTCATTGTAAGTGATGTTGTGTAGGTTCAAGCACATAACCTCTGTTTGCAGATTTTTCATCTTCACCATCTTGTCGTTTTTCGGACCTTCACTTCGGAAGGTCGGATAGTGTGTTCACATTCTCTTCCTTGATGTTGTATCGTAATAATAAGGTTTTACTGTATTAGCTTTCAGCAAATCGAGCAGCACTTGTCGTCAAGCCTAGCCATGGGCACTCTACACTGGACAGTAATGAAAATTTCCAACGCATTTTCACATTTGATTGACTATTCTATCTAACACTAGCTCTATGTCACGTCTGATCTGACTTTTTTTTTTTTATTGCAGGACATAGGTTATGTGGATGCTGTGTCGGAACTTCTGGCATCTGTGAGCAGCTGCTTGCCTTCATCCCAGCCTAATACAAGTGAGCATGTGTTCGCTCTCACTACAGAATTTCTATGAATTTAGTTATTGACACTCTTCTGAATCCACCTTGACATTCCACATGTAAAAATTTTTTTATTGAAATGTGTGCGAGTTCATTTCATTACAGAAGTTTATTAGTGTTGTCTGGAAGACACATTTGCTATTTCATATGATAGGTATGTCTTGTTAAAGTGCAAAAGTGATAAAAAAATGTTATATTATCCAATGTGGTACACACAAACCTTGCTATAACAAAACTGATGAGATGCTCAGTGATGTAACAGTTGTGTCAACGGTTCCAAACTGCTCCTAATAACCAGACCTGCTTCATCCTGCTAATCTAACTAATCTCTCAAGGTCGCAGCTCTGTAGCATGTGCCTGTACTCATGTGTTCACGCCGTGCTAAAGTGGGTGTGTGCATGTGTAAATTAAAGAAAATGTGCATACTTGTGCAGTGCTGGTCAGACTGCATCTCTATTTCACCATGAACAGCATGTAACGTGAGTCATGATAGGAGCGAATATGTGACAGAAAACCATCTTCAGTCTGCACACTAGCAAGAAATGACAAAAGTGGCTGCCGCACCATTCTGCCAATTGTGTCCTACCTCTGGGGTGTGAACTCTCATTTCCTTAAATTTGCCTATGTTGAAAGGTTAACGTTCGTGGGTTGGCTGTGGTGTCAAAGCAAACGCAGAAAGCTGTAGCAGGAAGTCACCGACTAACTTTTCTGAGCACCGAATATTGCACCGATGATTTTGCACTGAATTACCCCGCGGAACCGCAACCGATTGCCTGCATGTTGTCGATTTCGCAGACATAATGCTGAAAGCAGGGGAAACTTCCAACCATTACTTGAGCATCGACCATGCACACACTGATTTTTCCTGAAGAAGTGTCGTTACTTTCATAATCCAGATGTCAGAAGCAAGGGCGGTCTTGGGCTGATTGTTGGGAATGTCGGTCATTGCAGCAGTTTAATCATTTGGCAGTGCTTGGCTGCAAAGTTCCAAGTTGAGGCTACGGGATGTAGAAACTTCTGCCAAATGTCATTTGGCAATTTATTGGGAAACACGACTTGCCCAATCGAGGTAGCACTGGTTGGTTGGTTGGTTGTTGCTCAGAGTCCTGGCGCAACCCACCACGGGTGATTTGCTATGAAACGAACGGTGCCTCATTTGTGAGATCGAATTGTTTTACCAGCCGGGTTATTTAGATAGGGATGTTTAAACATAGATTTGGTAAACGATAGATTAGAAATAAATTAAATAGAGGTAATAAAAAAACGAGCAAGCTAAAATGGTTTGAAATAAAGTGTGTTCATGCCTCAGCTGTACATTCTATTCGTTTTGTCTTTTCGAAAATCGCATATGGCCTGAGAAAGGTTCCTGTGGCTAAATTCCTTTACAGTTGCTTCAAAGGAAAGGACCACAGGAAGGGATAAATTTAGAGCCAACCTACGGAGAGGTTCTTCTAACAGTCTCTTCCTTTGATTTGTATATAACCTGCATGTTAAGAGTAAATGATGAAGGGATTCACTCTCGTTGCAGTGGAGGCATAGGGGAGACTGTGCCAGACCAGGCCTGTGTAGATAAAAATTCAGGGGAGGGGGGGACTGGGCATTGTTGTTTCGTAATTGATATCTCCACCATTCTAGAGGAGCACCATCGATTTCTCCAGGGTACTTAAGATGAGAAAAATCAGATGTTGCCAAGCGAGATTTTTTAAAATGATCTGATATGACAAATTTTTCAACGCTTGCTATGGCAATAAATGCTAGCGTCAGCAATATAGAAATTATGGGATAAATATGTGAGGCAACTGCGAGTGCATCTGCATATTCGTTGAGGGTTAAACCTTTATGCCCTGGTATTCACACCAAGCGAATGAGTGCGATACGGCTGCGGGCGGTCGTCGTTGTCGTCATCCGAGCCGCTCTCCGGCTCCGGGACAACCTGGTGAAGAATTTCGTCGTCAGTGGCCTCCGCGCACGCTTCTTCACACCACCTGGCTCCCGCGATGGCACAGATGGCGGAGCCATGGCACCGAGAACACAAAATTCGATGCCGCAGATAGCCGCTGCGAAGCACACAACGTCTCGACGCTACGCGACACAACACGTGCAGAATGGTGGTGGTAGTGGTTACAATGAAGAGGAAAAAGGCACCTAATTTCTGTCTGCCTTCAGGCGACACGGCGCAGTGCCTTATAGGGGTGGGGTGAAGGAGGGATAAAAAGGATAGAAGGAAAGTAGAAGCAGAAGAAGACAGCCAACGAGAGGAAAAAGAAGGAGATAGGAAAGTGGGGATCCGGTCGAAGCAGTCCAAGGGCGGGGTGCCACAATGCGAGAGCTACACGGCGTCAGGAGACCGCGGAGGGCGAACCAGTCGGCGGGAGCTACGCTGAAGTCGGAGATCGCGAGGGCACAACCGTCCAGCTTGAAATCCTGCGAGCGAATCCAGAATGGCGACTGAAAAAAAAAAAAAAAAAAAAAAAAAAAAAAAAAAAAAAAGCTGCAACGACCCGACAATAAAAGAATCCTTCTTTCGCCTCCTCCCCGTGCGATGTGATGACGATAGTGCTGACCGAAGACGAAAAAACGGCATCCATCACCGCGTCTTTTAAAAAGCAAACACGGCCTCCGAAACTTAAAATATAGCGTGCGCATTCCAATCTCGGAGGCAGGAAAGGCATCTGAAGACCAAGTTTAGTCAAGCCGACGGAAAATCCAACATGGCGGCGTTCACAATAGCTTGGGGCGTGGCACAAAACGAGCGATTTAGTCCGAAAAATCGAACTTTCAGGGGCAAATTCGCCCGAAAAATCGGTCGAAACAATGCATTAGCTCTATGGGATCCCTGACGGTGCATTTATGAAGTCCGGAATATCCAACAAGTCCGAATTTTTGGAGTCCGGAAAATCGGTCGGCGACTGTACACACAGACATGCAGTCTGAAAGAATAATGGCATCTGTTATTGATTGAGGCAATTTCCGTAATGCTAAGAGAATCGCAAGTAATTCTGCTTGATAAATAGGTGTAAAATCGGTAAACGAATTGAAAATGACCAATCCAACGCTGAAGATGCAATTCCGACTCCTGCCTTCTCTTCACAAACTGAAGCATCAGTTGCTGCTACAATCCTAATTTCTAATCTTTCCAGGTGGTCTTTTAAAATGGAATTTAGGTATCTACTGGGAAAATATTTGCCATTATTAGGAAATATATTGTCAAATTCTATTTTCATTGTTTGAATAGGTGTTCTAGGTACCAGTACCTCACAAAGGTTAGCTTGTAATGTTTCTTAGAGCTTCTGTGGACGATGACTTGTGGACGCTTTAATCTAGATCACTGTTGGTTAAAAAAAGGACTTCGGCTCAATAATGAAAACATATTGCGCCCTCCTCTTTGTAGATGCATATATTTTTAGGAAGGTATGAACTGCTAGTATTTGGAACCTAGCATGAAGAGAAGGCAGGTGCACTTCCTTATACAAAATATTAATTGCGACAAATTTAGGGAGCCCAAGACATAAACGTAATGCTACGCGTTTTAGTAGTACCAGTGCATACCTGCCAAGTCTCCCAGATTGGCCGGGAGACTCCCGGATTTGGACCGTTTCTTCCGTTTGTACGGTTTTCATGAAAATCTCCCGAGAATCGACAGTTTTGTGCGTGATCCGGCGCCTTGACAAAAAAGCAGCTCAATCCGCTCCAGGCTTTTTGAACCTACCCCATTTTGTTATGAGTTTAAGAGGCAGCCATCTAAATGTACAGTAGAACCTCAGTGATGCGAAATCGCGGCAGATACGAATTCGTGAAATTTCTCAGTAAAATTTCACTATGTCTATTGGGCCTAAATTCGAATGTTCCGAACACATTTCTTAATCGTAACGTGTAATAGGAACTTTAGTACCGAAATCGTCAAACAAGGCCGAGAGCAACATACTCGAAGCTTCGGAAGTACGCATGTGACCGGCGCACGCTGTCTTTTACAGTGTGCATGATTGTCGTTGCCACAGCCGCTGTTGACGAAACCGTGGTCGCTTTTGACGCGATCATGTATAGCGATGACGTAACTGTTCCGAAAGTGTGCGTGCGTTCAACACTCAACCAGTCAAAGCAACGCTGCTTTCCGCAAACCCTGCGGACAAAACCGTGGCAGATGCGATCAAAGACGGCATAAAACGACTTTGTTCTGAAGGCAAGTGCGCAGTCATGCACATGGGGATTGAAAAAGGAACTACCATTTGTCGCAACCGCCGTGCACAGCATCCTGGTTGCGGCGGCACAATAGCGATCTACGAGCTTTGAGGACACGCAGCGGTAGACTAAAAGCACTAAATACGTAAACAAAAGTTAGTTTCGCCGCAAGGGCGAAGCAATAAATGCGACAGCAACAACTTGGAATGTCACACTGAGAACGGCAAGCAGATCGAAACGCGCAGCGCGCTGCTCACAGACAAAAGACGCACAAAAACAATACACACAAGACCAAAGCAAACTAACAACAACGTTTACCGCTCGACACGCAATGCACTGTTTAAACAAAAAAAAAAGCGATGCTTGATATATAATCACAGGTACGGATGAGTACAAACTAACAAGTGTCGCAGTTATATCTTGCTGTGTATGAAAAGTGCGTTCTTTTCGCAAACGGGGCTTGTGCATAGACCGCAGATACCTTTGTGGGCCCCGACAACTTACGCAATTGTTCCTATGAAAGCCGAAGGCACACGATTCTCCCCACCGAAAGATAAACGCGCGCACAAGCATCACCCCCCCCCCCCCCTATCCGCAGGGCAAAGTACGCATCAGAGTAAAGCGCGCATCGCCGCATTGAGACGAGCTAGGCACTGAGCGCGGGCGGCTTTTTTCCTTTTTAAAGTGATAATATATATAGACAAGTATACATCTACGGTGAATGACGGCGGTGGCGGCGACGGCAAAAAAGCAGCCTGGACTGTCAATAACAAAAGGGCCAGACATGTTTTGGCGTT